TGGACACCTGGGCCTGTTCCACAGGACAAGGTCTGTCCTTGACCTTGGGAATGAAGCCGTGCACGGTCAGCCAAACCTTTTCGAGTCTCTTCAGGGACACCTCTGTTGGGTGTTTTGCTTTCACATGAGGCAGTAGATTTGGATGAATGTTCCACAGCCTAAACCACTGCTTTTTACTCCTGGGAAATTTCTACTTTCAAGTAGGAGGGCTGACTCCACAGGTGTCACCAATAACGGTGGGGGTTGGGGGGCAGTGTGGGGGTGTATAGCAGAAACTTCCAGAAGCCGTCCGTGCTCTGGATGGCAGCAATAGCAGGGATCACAAAAGTGGGTGTGAGCCTGGGGTGTGAACTTAGCACTGAACCCAAATCAGGAAGCACGACTCTGTGTTCCCACCATGCGTGGCCACTCTGTGGCCTGTCACACGGAAGCAGGGAGGGGCTCTGCTGGAGGGTTGCTGCTCCCACAATCCTCCCTGTCTCCGAGACTTGGATCCACTCGTGGTCAGAGTCCTCCACTGGTGACCAGGCCTCCCTGAGTATCCGAAGAGAGCTGGCAGATGGCTTGCCCAGAAACAAGACAAGGAGGAGTGGAATCCAGGTCGGGAGTAGAGGAGGGCACAACCATACTGGTGCCTGATCCAAGGTTAAAGGGTTTTGCTATCCTCATAATCCTCTCCCAGCCTTTGCAATACTGAGGCCCAGCATGCTTCTTGAATGACATGGGACAGTTACTCACACAGGGACAGAGATGCCACCCATCCCAGGAAGCAGCTTCCTTCACCCCAGGAGCAGCAAATGCCCTTAGCTCCTGACAGGAGCAGTGACTTAAGCATTGTTAGTGGCAGGCTGGGGAGGGAGGGAGGTGGCAGAGTGGCAGGACCTTTGTGTCCCTGTTTTACCAAGCCGGAGACATCATCCAAGGTGGTAAAAGGAGGGGTCCTGTCTGCAAGAGCAACAAATCCCCCCCCCACACATACACACACACATACACACACACATACACACAAGGAGCAAGTGAGAGTCTCATAGTCCAGAGGCTGAGGGTCAGGGTCAGGGTGTCTGTCTAGTAAGGACTGGAAGGAAAAGAGAAAGGATGGGAGGGAGGGAGGGGGAAGTGAAGGAGGGGAGGGGGGAGAGGGAGGAAGAGGAGGGAGTGGGAGGGGAGGGGGGAGGAGTAGAGAGGCAGGAGAGGGGAGAAGAGAGGGATGAGGAGGGGGAGAGAGGGAGGGGGAGGGGAAGGGGAAAGGGAAAGGGGAGGGGGAGAGAGGGAGGGGGAAGTGAGGGGGAGAGAGGGGAGAGGGAGGAAAAGGGGGGAGTGGGAGGGGGAGAGAGAAGGAGAGAGGGAGTAGTAGAAAGGGGGGAGGGAAGGAGAGAGGGAGGAAGAGGGGGAGAGAGGGAGGAGAAGGGGAGGGGGATGGGGAAGGGAAGAGAGGGAGGGGAAGGGGAGGGGGAGAGAGAGGGAGAAGCTGCTTTGCAAGTGCTATTTTGTCTTTATCAGAGGGCAGAGACCTTGTGACCCGATTACCTCTCTCTCAGGCCACCAGTCAACACTGGTCCCCAGGCATTTGGCCATAGCAGAAGGCCTGGGCCAGCAGCCTGCCTGAGCAGGGCCTGGCTTTGAGGCAAGAAGATTGGTTGCAGTAACCTCTGAGTATATCACAGGTAACACGGCTGAGGTAATAAAGGCCTGAGGTGGAAGGTGTCTCGTAGTTGTGGGCTCTGCTGAGGGGACACAGGGCTGGTGGTGTGGTTTTTTGTTGTTGTTTTTCACCCACCTTGCCCCACAGCACCATGAAGGCTCTGACCCTCCTCCTGCCCATCCCCGGAAACCCGCGGGTAAAGTTGCTACAGGCTGCAGGTTGAGATTGTTGCCACCAAACAGTGCAGGGCACAAGGAAGGACAGTTTCATGGCCACCGCCCCTCCCCTCCCCTCTCCCAACCCGACTACCACCACAGGTGAGTTATAGCCGCAGGAACAGGAAAGGGAAAGGATAGCTCAGTTGCTCAGCAAAAGAACCCCGCCCCCACCCCACTCCTTCCTCCCTTCCTTCTTGCACTCAAGAGTGCGCAGTGGGGCCGCAGTGCACTGCACTCCATCATGGTGGTGTAGACACAAGCTCCGCCCCTCTGACAGATATGGACCGTATTCCCCGCTTGATGCAGAGTAGCACGGCGGTACAGGAAGGATGGAGGGTCCCCAGACATCCTCCCAGCAGCTCCACAAAGCCCAGGTGTCAGATGGGCAGGGGGAAGGGAGCAGCAGGCTGCAGGGTGAGGGCTATCAGGTTGCTGTGTAGCCAGCGTGGCCGCACAGGAGGGAGGTGCTAGGCAGGTGGGCGGATTGTCAATCATGCAGGGCTTGGGCGGGTCCCTTGGTGCCTCTGCCCTAGCTCCCATGGGCTAGTGAACTGTCAGCCAGACAGGGAGGCAGGCTCTGGTGGTTCTCAGGACTGACTCAAATACTGCATGAAGAGAGCTTTGTGGGGACAGCTAGAGGGACCTGCAGGAAGTCTCCTTCTGGTGGCTCTGTCTATACCAGGTGCAAAATGAGGAGAGACATGTGACTCAACAATTTCTCCCTTCCAGAACAAGCTGGGGACAGTGGAGCCTTTTGTCCCCGTAGGCAAGGTCAGCTAAGATGACAAAGCACCAAGACTGCAGAGGCCTAAAGCCATCTAGATGTATTTCCCTCATAGGACGTCTATTCTGATGGATGCTGAGGAACTCCTCAGCTCACAGACAGCACAGCGGGCAGAAATAAGGAACAAAAGCAGAGAATTGACCAGGAGCTGGTCCAGCTCATTTCTCAGTGACTCATGGTCCCAGCCACTGCCCCCTGGGATGGATGGATGGATGGATGGATGGATGGATGGATGGATGGATGAATGGGTGGATGGATGGATGCATGGATGGGTGGGTGGGTGGATGGACAGATGGATGGATGGATGGACAGATGGGTAGATGGATGGGTGGGTGGGTGGATGGATGGATAAATGTATGTATGTGTTTATGGACAGTTAGATGGATGGATGGATAGATGGATGGATGGATGGATGGATGGACAGATGGATGGATGGGTAGATGGATAAATGTATGTATGTATGTATGTACAGATAGATGGATGAACAGATGGGTAGACTGGTGATTGGGTGGATGGATGGATGGATGAGTAGATGGGTGGATGGATGGGTGGATGGACGGGTAGATGGGTGGATGGGTGGATGGGTGGGTGGGTCGGTGGATAGATGGACGGATAAATGTATGTATGTATGTATGGACAGATGGATGGATGGATGGATGGATGGACAGATGGATGGATGGATGGGTAGATGGGTGGGCGGATGGATAAATGTATGTATGTATGTATGGACAGATATATAGATGGACAGATGGGTAGACTGGTGGTTGGGTGGATGGATGGATGGATGAGTGAATGGGTAGATGGATGGGTGAATGGGTAGATGGGTGGATGGATGGGTGAGTGGGTGGGTGTATGGATGGATAAATGTATGTATGTATGGACAGATAGATGGATGGACAGATGAGTAGATGAGTGGATGGATGGATGGATGGATGGATGGATGGATGGATGGATAGATGGATGGACAGACAGATGGACAGACAGACGGACAGATGGATGGATGGACAGGTAGATCAATGGATGGATGGATGGATGGGTGGACAGGAAGATGGGAAGGTACAGGAAACTCATGGAAGGCATTGGTGAGGAGACAGGGCACCACCAGTGAGTGCGGGATTCGGGGCGTGAGGTGCTAAGTCGACCCTCCCCACTAGGCTGCCCCCTGGGTCATTGTGTCTAAGAGAATGCCCTGACTCCTGGTAACACTGGCCAAGCCACGCAGAGGCAACCACTCTGTGTCCTGTTCTCCTGGGCAGGCCAAAAGTCTGGGGCCAATTAAAGGTATCCACGTCTCTGATACTGAACAGCAAGTGGCCATGTTTCCTCACGTGGATTTGGTCCTATCATACCGAACAGATGTCACACCTACCCAGTAGCCTTTGCAGGCCTGTGGCCTGGTTTCTATCCTCAGGTGCTTGTGTATTCCAAGTTTCAATCTCTTATCTCTAAAACTCCCCTCCCTCGTCCCCTCCTGCCTGCCACATGCTCCTTCACCTGAGCAAGTCTGTGTTCTTCCCGACCACACTGCCAATGCCACCTCCTCTGGGGAGCCTGCTACGTTTGCCATGCCCTAATGTTCCGTCTTCTATCATAGCCTTGGATGGGCTGCGAAGCAACCCAATGGCTCAGGGATTGTCGTCAGACCTGGCCCATGTGGTCATCAGACAGCCACAAGGCAGAGGAGAGCTACTGAGCGATGACCGCGCAGCAGTGAGTGGTTTGGACATTTAGAAAGCAGCAAGGCCTCCTTGGGTGGACTTTGATCACCTGGGAAGAGCTGGCTCTGGCCCTCCTCAGAGTGGAGACGTAGCATGAACATGGTGGCTTGGCCTCAGAGCTGACAGAACATGGCTCCCTTAAGGGCCTCACTGCCCAGTTGGAGTTAAATCAGCTCTCCTGAGTGTCTCTACCTAGGAAAGGAGACCCCAGGGGAAGGAGAGACAGACTATGAAGAGGCAAGGCAGTGGGAAGTCTTTCGCTGTAGTGATCCCAGACATGCTGGTCTAGAGGTGCTGTCTGGGCTAGGGACAGGGAACAGGTATAGTGTGCTCTCTTAGTAGAACGTGTCCTCCAAAGTGAAGGCCTTTAGGGAAAGGGTAAAACCTTTTCCACTAGGGAAACTTTTACACGGCCCCAGGCTATGAATGTATAGAAAATGGGTATACACATCGAACACTGAGAATAAGTCATAAAGGGATTTTTTGTTTGTTTGTTTTTGTTTTTCGAGACAGGGTTTCTCTGTGTAGCCCTGGCTGTCCTGGAACTCATTCTGTAGACCAGGCTGGCCTCGAACTCAGAAATCTGCCTGTCTCTGCCTCCCAAGTGCTGGGATTAAAGGTGTGCGCCACCACTGCCTGGCTAAAAGGATTCATTTAAAAGTAATTCTTTGCTGTAGATCTGATGAACCAGTTGTTGAAGTCAAAAGGCCGATTTGCACACTGAGACGAATGCGCTGGTTTACGGCTACAGAATCCATTAAATCGTGGCTGAAATTTGGTTCTACAGGGTTCAGGGCTTCTTCTGAGTTTTGGGAGTTGATCGATACTTTTAATTGGTGGCCTTCCAGGCTTAGAAGACTGCATCCTAGAGACACAAAAGAAAAAAAATGGCAGGGGTATGTTTAAGGCCATTTTAGAAACCCCTGGAAATCTTGTCCTGATTCCAAGTCAGACTTTACCTAAGAAGGTTCTACAAAACTCAAATCAGCAGCCCAAACAGCAGTTGGTAAAAATCAAGCATTCTATCCCAATCCAGCCCAGACATGTACTGACGTGTACACACGGGCCAGAGAATAATGTGGGGGGATGTTAAAAGTCCTATATGCGCATTAAAAATACCTCGTTCCGTGGCGTGGTGTGCACAGTGTGGCCTGCACGCTACGCATCTGGGACCAAAGCTGTAGTGAGGTCACAGGATATAGCACAGGCAGGCAGTGCCAGCAACCTTTCAGATTTCTCACGGGTTTGATTTTGAGTGACTTTTGGTCACTGAGTTTTGGGAACCTCTATATCCAGTTTCTTGACCATATGGGGCTGGGCTCTGTCCTTTGAGAAGCTGAGGGCAGGAGTGGAGACGTCGTACAAGCTCTCCTGTCTCTCCGCTCTGTCACAGGCAAACTGTCACATGATGTGACAGTAAAGGGTGACATCAGGGCTCTCACCTGGCCATCCTGGCCTCTGCAGGTTTGGGGATATACATAGTATCCTTTCTGGGTGCTGAGGTGGCCCCCAGGGCTCAAGGGTTGCGTTGAGGAAAAGATGGATGTTGGAGCCCTGGCTTCTTTTGTAAAACGTCCTGTAGCATCTCTTTGTCACCTGGTGCAAGTCATTGCAAGATTTCTATTCTTTTTTTTTTTTTTTTTTTGAGACAGGGTTTCTCTGTGTAGCCCTGGCTGTCTTGGAACTCACTCTGTAGACCAGGCTGGCCTCGAACTCAGAAATCCACCTGCTTCTGCCTCCCAAGTGCTGGGATTAAAGGCGTGTGCCACCATCGCCCAGTAAGATTTCTATTCTGATGTCCTGGGACAAACTGCTGGTTGGGGTGAAGCCAAAGCTAGGGTGCCATTAGGTTTCATAGTCAAGTTAAGATGGAGAACAGAGAGGGCTGAAGAGGCTACCTGCTGTGTGCCCAGGGATGAGGTGAATCTAAAGCTACGTCTTCCATTCTCCTGCACCTTTATCCTTTATCCCTCTAGACAGCTCTGTCTGATCAGGAGTTGGGATGCATCAGTAGGTGGAGTAAGGGACGGAGTCTGGCTCCCAGTTAGTAACGCCAGGCACGGGAATGCCCTCACCTTTAGCAATGCCTGGAGGGGAATGAGCTCAGCACTCTGTTCTGGCCAAGACCCAGGGCTTGTCAGCTTCCCTTGAACTTCTCAGGAAGCTGCACTTACCTCGTGAGTGGTAGCTGTACTCATCACCACAGACAGCCACTTTGTAACCAACCGCATAAACGATAGAATTGGCGAGAGCCACTGGGGAAGTGGCTTAGAGCCCTCTCTGAACAGCTCTGGTCCTCACTCTGGACCACTTCTCATCCTGAATCCTGTTCCACTTTCAGCCATGAATATTCCAGCAGAGACTGGCGAAAGAAGGTTCTAGGAACATCGTAAACAGGGGTTGGAGCGGTCAGGCCAGGAACGATGGCAGACCTCACACATAGCTCACCCTTGAGCCCAGATTGCCTCCACCTCATCCTGTAGCAAAGCCCCCCACCTGACTTCTCCAGCTTCCTTTTTCTTTCTGGGTCCAGCCGTAAGGTTTTGATGTCCACACGTGACCTGTCTAGCACGGACCACAGGGCAAAACATTGCAGGGTTGTACATGTGTTAGCCTGGTTGTCAGCTTGACCTCCTTCAGTGGAGGAAGGGATAAGTCCACCGGGAGAGAGGGTGTCCCTGTCCTCAGGGAGAGAACAGCCACCTCAGGAAGATTGCAAGCACAAGAGGCAGAATAACAATGAGAATGGAGAAGTCTAGAATAAGTCAGAAGCATCTACCTTTGGGAAAGAGAAGCGGCCCAGAGAAGCACAGCTAAGACTGTATAAAAAGAGGCCTGGATAGTAGGGGATTCTGGGAGGTGAAGCATGGCCCCCAGGTCTCTACGAGATGGTCAGGAATATGGGGAACAGGGACAGGCTGGCACAGCAGCCCCAGGCAATGTGGACAGAGCGTTTACTACCGTTCCAGTGCAGCACTGGGAAGCAGAAAGGACCCAGAGGGGAGAATTTGGAATACTGAGAAGTATCCAGCCCATGTGTAGAAAAGCACAAGATCAGTAGACATGTGCTGAAGGCCTTCCTATGCTGTGCATTCTTCAGCGAGTGCCTGACCTCTCTGGGCTTAGCTGGGGTTTTTGTCTCTTCCTGACTTGAAAGGAGCCCTCAGTGAGTCTGCGTGTATCCACGTGCTACTGTCTCCCAACTGCCTCTGAAAGGCCTGGCACGTGTCCCAGGGTCTACCATGAAGCGCTGGGCTGGGCACACCCTCCCAGAAAGCCTTGCACCTGGGCCCAGGATGAGATCGGCAGACGCTTGACCCAGCTGTGTGTGCATGGCTGTGGTCCAAAGCCTGTTCTGGGTGTGAGTGGAACACCCGTGCTATGAGTTGAGCACGGGAGGTGACCTGCTCTTATGGTGTGTGTGTGTGTCTGTGTGTGTGTCTGTGTGTGTCTGTCTGTGTGTGTGTGTGTCTGTGAATGTGTGTGTCTGTGAATGTGTGTGTCTGTGTGTGTGTCTGTGTGTGTATCTGTGTGTGTGTCTGTGTGTATGTGTGTCTGTGTGTGTGTGTCTGTGTGTGTGTGTACGCGCGGGCGTATGTGATTCGAGGCACTGTGTGCTTGTGAACTGGTGCATGTTCAGTGTGCAAGTATGTATGTGGGTGTGTGAACGTGCTGTGTGGTTGCATGTGTTTGTGAAGCTGTTCTAGTGTGTATGTTCCCCTGGTATATGTGTGTGCATGTGGCATTTATATGTCTGTGAAGTTTGTGTGTCTGTGGTGTGCACGTCTGCGATGTGTGTTCCCAGTTGTGTGTTAGTGGAGTTTATCTGTCTGTGGAGTTTGTGTGTTGTGCTCTTTGCACGCACGGCCCCACCCCCTCCAGCCCCTGGCTAGCTCTGCTGGCCTGGTGCCTGGTTCTCCTAGGCCCCTGCCAGGGGCTTTCCTGGCTGGAGGAGTTAAGCAGTGGAGCACCAGGTCTCCAAGACGGGGATTTCTGCAGGCTAGGCCAAGCCGTGGGGGCTGCATCCTGGCAAGATGGGGGAGGGTCCTCTAGGTACCCAGATCCCATCTGCCGTGTGAAGACAGCTACCAGAGAGCCTCCTCTCCTCATGAGGCTTTCTTGGTGAGGCCTGAGACAAGGTTGGGGTGTTGCACAGAGGGCTTTTCAAATGGATGGTCTGTCCAAATTGGGCCGAGACTTCCTTTGTGAGGTTGTAACCCAGCCCCCAGTCTTCTCCTGCCTCAGAAATGTTGGCTGTGACATACAGAAAGGGTGCCCCTTTCTGTCCCACAGCTACTGAGCCACCAAACTGTCCCAGCCTGGGTCAGGTCCCTTGTGATCACTTCTGTTTACTGGGCATAAGCGGAGGCTATCCAGTGTTGATGGCAGCAGGGTTCAGAACCCACCTTGATACCCTCAAACACAACCCTTATGAGCTCAGGGAGCCTTGGCATGTCCAATGTCCTTGTCCCCCAGTAGCCACAAAGTCAGAGGCACCCCAAGGTTACGCTCAGGGTAAACGCCACAGATCCCACTCCCTGCCCTGCCTTGCTCCAGATGACAAGAAGAAACCAGGCATTTGTCTGAGACAAAATATGAAGCTACTAAATTCTAGATGAACAATATTTTAGCACAATACTGTTCAAAATCAGAACAAAGGCACAACTCATGATGGATGAATAGCCTCAAACCTCTCAGCAAGTCAGGATGCTCTACTCTCTCTCAGCCTGCACCCCAAACTGGCCTCAGGGCCCAGGGAAGCCAGGCGGAACCTGCCCCACCTCCATGAGCTGGTTTCCAAAGGGATCAGATTGGGGAGGTAGATGAGGTGTCCCTAGGAAGGGAAATCCCTCTAAGAGGAGGCTATGGACTTCCTCCCCCAGGAAACACATGCCAGGATGTGACAGGAAATCCCCTCAGGGGCTTTCCCAGGTCAGACCTGGGCTGGCTTCATCCCAATTTGGATATGAACAGAGTCTCCAGGGCACAGGATGGAAACCCCTGCCTTCCTGACATCCCAAGTGGAGCCCTCAGTTCTGCCTCCTGGAGGAATACGGAAGGTGCCGAATTTTCTGTATTTCTCTTGCATTCTCTTAGCTGCTGTGGAGAACAGCCTTTCGTGGGAAGAAAGCCAAGCAGTGTTTCTAAGACTCTGGTTGGATTTCTTGGTTAAAAAGTCTCCATCCGTCGCTGGGATAGTGGGGAGAGAGAGAGTGAAGTTATTTCCAGATGTCAACAGCTTTCAGGGGCCTGGGAAGTCCCCTCCATGCAGGCAGTTGGCCTGTGGGGAGAGCAAGACTGGAGAAGGAACAGACAGGGAAACCCAGTTCATACTGGGTCACCGAATAGCTCTTCATGAAGAGCCTGTATGGAGGGCTTGGGGTAGCTGAGGGACTCAGGTCTGAGAGGGGGTGGGGAGTGAGTACTGACCTGTGAGCCTCAGAGACCAAGAGCAAGAGCTCTGACAGCAGCTTCTACTGAAAGGACACTGGTAAGCTCGTGGAGGAGTGAGACTAAATGCAAGGACCTCCATTGAAAAGTACCACAGGCCTTCGGTGGCCCTCTCTATCCGTGAGTGGGTTCACATACTTGGACTCAACCGGCTGGATGCTCAAGTCATACATGCAAAATGGCGGTGTTTGCTCATAACCCACACATGCCGCCCATGCACTTTGAAAGTCACTCCACACGGCGTCAACATCAAGTCTGATGTCAGCCTACACGGTTCAGTATGCTCGAGGAAACAAAACCAGCATGCTTGGCCACAGTCACTCAATTGCATCCTCCTTCCCTGACTTCTTGGGCATGAGGACACCAAATCTCTGACACCTAGGCACAGTAGATACATAGGAGATGAGATCTATTTATTTTAAGGACTGTCTGAGGGCAGCCTGGTGAACAGGAGATGGCAGAAATCTAAAGTCAAAATCTCTTCCTCGGAGAAGCCTGGGGATTGCTCTTCAGGACTCTAATGACTGAGCCACACCCAGCCAACCACTGAAGGCTCAACCCTTTTACCTGGAGTTGACTGACAGCAGGTGAGAACCATAGCATCCCAAACAACATCTGACTAATAACCGGGGACTACAGTCTGGCCTAAAAGACTCATTAAATTAGTCATCATTTCCCAACTTTACCTCTCCTGTCCTAGGTTATTTGGCTTTCATGTTGGTACCAAGGAAGCCAGAGAGTGGGGACTAAGTACTGCTTGTCTCCACAGCCTCGTGAACCACACAAAATAGTCAAACAGAGGTCAAGGCAAAAGGTCAATGATCCCAGACACACAGGGGCTCGCTTCAGACCCACCAGGAAGAATATCTCCAGTAGAGGCTTGGCCTAGAATTCTGGGTCTATAAGGACCACTTAGAACAGGGTCACCTGCAGGAGAGCGCTCTGTGCTTCTGTCATAAACACTGGGCTCCATCTTCCCTCCTGAGTGCATGAGTTGCATCAAAGGCCCAGGGGCCTGCTCCCGCCTCACTCACCTGTCTCCCACCAGGCTCCTGCCTCACCCACACACCCCGCCCATCACAATGCAGGGATGGAACAGATGGCTGGCACAGCCAGCCTTCCTCCCTTCACTTTGAGAGTGCTTGTTGAAGACTCTCTGGTCTGTTTGAGCCTGATTTCCTGATGAAACATCTCCAATGGGCCTCATGCACCAGCAGGCTTTGGTGACCACTGTAATCTGCCGTGGATTAGTCAGGAGACTCTGGTAACGATTCGGTAACCAATACCTCCGAACTTATGGCTCTATCCTGGCACAACGCATTCCAAAGGGCCATGTGAATAGGTCAGCTTTTCCTGCACAGGGGGACATAGGGATACTGGTCCCCCTATTTGTGATACTACCCCACAGACATACTTTCCAGAGGCTCACAGTGGGAGTAGAAGATTGCACCGTGGCCTACAGCCCAGGAATAGCTTGGCAAGAAGGTACACATATTACTTCTGTTCAGAGCTCATTGGCCGTAGCTGGTCTTGTGATCCCAGTCTAACCACTAGGGAGGTTAGGGAGTGTGGGAAAAGGCAGGTAGATATTTAGCAAATAGGACTGCCTTTCCTCCAAACACTGGCAGAGAGAGAAGGTGGGGGGAAGGGTTAGGGGGAGAGGAGAAGGGGAGGGGAGGGGGAAGGGAGTGAGAGGGGGAAGGGGAGGAATTTGGAAAGGGGGGAGGGGGAGAGGCACAGGGAGAGAGGGGGAGGGGAGAGGGAGGGGAAGAGGAGGAGGAGGGAGAGAGGCACAAGGAGAGAGGGGGAGGGGAAGGGAAGAAGGAAGGGGAGGGGGAGGGAGAGAGGCACAAGGAGAAAGGAGGAGGGAGAGAGAGAGAGAGAGAGGGAAAGCAAATTCCTTCAAGTCAGTTAGTTGGCTTCAGTGCTCTGGATTTGGAAGCCACCAGCTCAGTATGCCTGATTGCTCAGAGGCTAACATGAGCTTGTAGCCGAGAAGTTAGGCAGAGCTGCATACAACTGGGCTGGGAATACATTTCTATGAAGTGTCACCTGCCGCTGTTGGCTGGAGGCTTCAGCCTATCTCGGCTGATGGTGACGGCTCAGTCCCTGCCACAGGGTACAAGGCATCTCCTTAGAGTCTCCTCATAAGGAAGAGTAACTTTCCCTCTGCAAAGGAATCCAAGATGGAGCAAGGTGGAAATCAGTCATGTGTGACCTTTGGGTGGCCATCACACCAAGCAGCGGCCCCACGGATGCTAGAGTCCTATAACGTGTGGCATACTGTGTGTTAATTTGCCTGAGCCAGGAGGTACCTGCTTGGATAGGGATGCTCTGGAGGATGGTATAAGCCACATAACCTGGGAGTTGGTGGCTGAGAGAGGTACAGGCTTCCCAGTAGGAAGGGCTCCTTCAGTCTGCTGGGAGCCTGGGTAGATCCAGTAGCTGGCTGTTGGGAGTCAGGGAGGACCTCACCCTCTGTCTGGGAGTCCTTCAAACTGGAGCATCATCTTGCTTCTCTTCAGACTTGGACCGGAGCCACTGATGCCCTCTCCCAGGTCCCCAGATGGTTGATTCTGGGAATCCCCCACCTCTGTAATCATAAGCAATCATTCCTTACGACAAAGAAAAACACAGCCCGTTGACCTATGTTCCTGGAGGACCTGATGGTTGTGACTAACACAGGTGATAAGCCCTGGGGCCACTGCGGAAGTGTCTTGAATTTTACCAGAGCCCAGGAAGTCAAAAGGTCAGAGATGCCAAGCTAAGCTACACCTGGCCTCTCAGCACAGTTCCCTATTTTCATAAGAATCCCAGCAAGCCAGCTTCCCCTGAAGGGATTCCTCAGTGAGGCCCGCAGCTGCCCCAGTGTGAGCAAGAGAGTGGCTGAGTCTACAGAGGCGGGGAGCCTGAAGGGGCTGGACCAGAAGATGGTGTGAGGTAAAGTCAGAGGCAATCCTGCTTCTGTTCAGGCACCACGTCTGGAGGGATTCCAGGCAATCTCCAGAGGAACCAATGGATAAGAAGTTAAAACTTGACCCATCCACAACCTAGGGAGATGGCTCGGGTGGTGAATTGCTTACCATGCAAACAGAAGGACCTTAGTTTGATCCCCAGAGCCTGCGGGGTGGGGGTGTGTATGTGCGTGTGTTTGTGTGTGCATGTATAAATATGGTAGTGTGTGCTTGTAATCCCAATTCTGAGGTGGCCAAGACAGGAGGATCCCCGAAGCTTCCTGCTTGCTGGTCCAGCCTAATTCCAGACCAAACATGTCTCAAAAAACCAAGATGGATGGGTCTTTGTTTTGTCTTTGTTTTTCAAGACAGGGTTTCTCTGTGTAGCCCTGGCAGTCCTGGAACTCACTCTGTAGTCCAGGCTGGCCTCGAACTCATAAATCCACCTGCCTCTGCCTCCCAAATGCTGGGATTAAAGGTGTGTGCCACCACCGCCCGGCCAAGATGGATGGGTCTTAAGGAGCAATATAGTCCAAGGTTGGTCTCTAAGCTCCACTGGTACAAGCATCCACGCCTACATATGTGTGCACACATAAGCACACACATGTGAGTACACACACAGTGACCAGACACTAAGGAAATCTGCCCCAAGAGTAGTTTAAGAGAGGGGACAAATGTTTGACTGATCACGGCTACCCTGCCCTCCCAAATCCAGAGGTTCTGTGCTGTCCCCGGCGTGGCTGGCTTCTCTTGTCCTCATTTGTGCTGTGTAAAGGTCAAACGGCGGCATTTATGTGTGCTTTAAGGATAAATGGCAAACAAAGAAAGGGGAGAGGTATGAAGGGCGCTCCAGAGAGACAGAGCAAGCCGAAGACCTACGTGCACGGCACACCCGGGGTTCTTGCTCCTCTCAGTAGCTGAATTTGGCATATGGTAGCCGTTTCTGTCATTGTACATTTGGACAGGGTCCTGGCTCAGCAGCTTGTGTAGAACCAGGGTAGGACCCTGGATGAAGAAACCCACCACTCATCCATCGGGAACCAAATTCATTTCTCTTCTCTGCTCACTTTGGGGAGGTGATATGCCTTGCCCGCTGTGGTGCATGCTGGGAAAGACATTTCCACTTAGCCTGCGTAGCCTGCCTGCACTGGCTCCTATGCTGTGGCATTTGAGACAGCAAAGTCAAAAGAAGAGTGACCAGCTTAACAGCTTCTCTAAGAGCAAAGCTTCAGGCACGGCGGGATCCAGGAATCCAAATCACGGACTGGAGACTCTGCCCTTCTGCCCAAGCTGGCTGGGATGACCATGGCTACCAGTGTCCAGGGCCACTTCAAACTTGCTGTCCAAGTGTTCCAAGAGTGGACTTTGCATACTACGCCTTATGTGACTGGGGGTGGATAGGCGGTACGGAGGCCCAATGTTGGCAAAATTGCTCTCCACATTATTTTTTGAGACAAGGTCTCTCACAGAACCGGGGGCATGCCGATTTGGCTAGACCAGCAGGCCAGCAAGCCCCAGAGGCCCTGTCTCTGCCTCCCTGCAACTGGGATTGCAGCTTCATGCTGAGACAGCCAGTGTTTTAAAGCATGTGCTGGAGATCAAACTCAACCTCTTGCGCATAGCAAGCAGTTTACAGTGTGAGCCATCTACCCAGCTAGGCTGAAAGATTAGTGAAGACTGTGGAAAGACCCTAGGGAAGCCCACCTTTTGTTCATGATCTATTCTACTGCAAAACTGGGTCTACCCCCATTCAGACCACCAAAGAGCAGAGCGAGGTCTGGAGAAGACCACTTGAGAGTCTTTGTGCTTACCATGTCCTCAGGCCACAGGCTCAATCTCTAAACAAGAACCCTCTGGAGGCCGGGGTGGGCGTGGGGGTGGGGCAGTGACAAAGCACTGGGCAGGGGAACCCAACAAGAAACAGCTTCCGGGGGGCTGGTTTACATCCGGGGATGTGGGAAGGCCCAGCTGGGGGCCCCAGGACATCACAGAGACCTTTCCTGTGCCGCCAAGCTGTCCTGGGAGTTAGGCATGGCTGCTAGCTGACCTTTAGTACAGTATGGACGTGGCCCCTATATTACAGGCCTCGTCCACCAGACCTATCGATACCCTCAAAGCTACAGCCGAAAACTCATCCTGCAGCCCAAGCAGAGCTCTGGGAAGCAAGCCGCACAGCTCCCTTCAGACTTAGCCTGGCCTTGTCACTAATAGCATGTGTCCAGTCAGGTGCCTCCTTTCCCAGCTCTGTCCCTCTGGCCCACAGCCCAATCCTGGCTTGGGGGTGGGGGGTGGGGGCAGGAAAGCAGGCTGAGAGATTGGTCCCTGTGTGCTTTTAAGGGTAGACACGTCTGAATCAAACTTAGACAGATCCAGAAGCTAGGACTGGCAAGCAAGCTCCTCCCGCCCCACTGGCTGAGCAGGAAGCTGCCCTCCCCAGAGCCTCTGCTGACCGGTTCCCCACAGGGGCCTCTCACAAGCAGGCTTTGTGACAGAGCTTGAGGATTCGAAGGCTGCAGGAGCCAGTTTTAATTCAAAGCACCTCTTGCCTGGACATGCAGGATACCACTGAAGGAGAACAGAAAGTCCACGCTGGCCTCTGAAACTGTGTGGCTCCCCTCTGCCTTCTCGGTCCACTCAAGCCCCAGCCAGGTTCCCATGGAGCAGTTGAGCCTTGCTAACATCCTAACATCCACACCCTTCCGCAAAGCTCTGTCCTCAGCAACTGGGCAGTTGTGGGTTGTAACTTGGGTTCTTTTGCTTCTTGGTGTGTGTGTGTGTGTGTGTGTGTGTGTGTGTGTGTGTGTGTGTATGTGTAAGTGGTACCTGGACCACAGGTACAAAAACCACTAGACATGGTGGAAGACCAGGAGCAGAAGAGCTGGAAACTCTAAGGTTCCAAACCATAATAGTCATGTGTCCTTAAACATTTGCAGGTTGGGAGGGGCAGCATATGCTACCTACCCACAGAAGTATTTGCCTCAGCTGCTCAGCACACAAGGCCTTTATGCAGGTAGAACACAGGAAACATCCCATCTGGCCCTGTGGGACAAGCATCGTTTGTTCCCTGTGGCCACCTCACGCTGTGGCCACTTCTCCCTGTGGTTTCTTTTCTTACTCCAAGATCATCCCCCTGGGGTCACCTGCTCTGGGAGACAACAATCTACAGATATCTTTCTCGTTCTACCCACCTTACTTCTTATGGCCACCTCTTCCTGTGGTCACTCCTCCAGGTCACCTCCAGTCCAGGTTCATGCTAACCACCAGAAGAAAGAAGCCCTTCTTGCCTTTGTTCACCCCCTCCCCCCAAAGCTGGCCCTCCTCAGCTCCCAGGCACCTGACCTGGGGTCACATGGCCAGCCTTGCCTGGCAGGCTGGATGATCTGCTCTGAGTCACTCCTCTGTGCCTGAGTTTCAGCTTCCTTCCACAGTACAGGGACAAAAATTGTTTGCCTTTCCACCCTGTTGTGGTGAGCAAGCCAGAACAAGAGGGAAGACGGCTGACCCCTTGCACTGTGCCTCCAGGTTTTATGTGTGCACTTGAGTGTGTGCAAGTGTGTGTAAACGCCTGTCCCCACTGGTGACTGAGTTCCTAGGCTGTCCCAGGCTATCCCCTCCCAGTCCCATGCGTCTCCGGAGATAAGGGTCTGCTAGGACCTGAATGCCACTGGTGGTGGTAGGCAGACACAGCACGGGCAGGTGCCCACAAACTATATCACTTCTGCTTCCTGCTGGTCCTACCCAAGGTCAGCCTCTGCTCTTCCCAGGATACTGCAGGGCCTGCTGCACGGAGACTGCCATTGAAGGTCCTCACTGTGGGGAGGGGAGGGGGTTCAGAGCCCCTTCCTGACTGCCAGGCTGGTTCTGGCTGTGAGGCAGCTCTGAGCTCGGCAGCAGGGCAGGCTAGCCGGGGAGCTGCAGGTTGTAGCAACGATGGGCTTTCCCGAGGAGCTCTCAGGACCCCCATTCATGACGACTCTTAGGACTCCTCGCCACAGAGCATTCAGCGCATGACTTCTGGGCCAGATCGGCTCGATATAACCCTGTCATCACTCTGGGTCTAGGCTTCCTCCGTTTTGCCTGGGTGGTGTACACTGTCGGCCACCCACAAATTGCTGGTGATTGACCCTTCTAGTTTCACAAGACAGAGTCTCTGAAGGGTGGATTCTCATACCACGAGGGCCCAAGAGACCGAGCCGAGACAACAGGAAAGTAGAAGGTGGAGAAACTGCCAGAGAGTGCCCAACAAGCACTCTTGGGACCCTAAGCATGTTCTGCTAAAAGGTAGACAGGGTTTGGGGATATAACCACAGCCTGAGAACACATCTGCCACCGTTGTGCCCTGTGTCCCTCTGCCACGGACTCGACCGACCCCAGTTTGTGGCAAACTACTTCTCTCTTCTACTTCCATTTCCCTTTCCCTAGTAGGGCACGGGTACTCTCCGCCCAGAGGCATGGTAGATGCTGTGGAGGTTGAGGAGAGGTGCCCTTTGACCACAGGCAGGAAGGAAATGAAGTGTAACAGTTTCACTGTGGCTAGCCCTCAGCAGGGGCTATGGAGGTATGCCACAGGAACACTTCCTCAACCAGTCAGGCCCTCAGAGTTCCCTCTGAGAAGTGTCCCCAGCCTTGCTGGGACCTCTACCTAGGAGCTAATAGGGACAGAATGAAAACCTGAAACCTCGACCCTTGGTCAGAGGGCAAACATGTTAGCCCAGGCTAGAATAGGTAGTCCTGGGATAAGGCCTGGATATGGTGGAAGGTAAGTCTCTGGAGTCTCGAGAAGTGTTGGGATGGTATGGTAGAGAGCTAAGGCAGAGCCCTCTCCATCCAGTCACAGGAGCAGGCAGATTCACCCAGGGCCAGTGAGTCAGGACACTTTGGAGGAAAGAAGAGGACAGCTAAGGTTCAGAGGTGTGGAGAAGATGGCAGAAGGATCTCCACCGAATGACATGCCCAGAGAGCTGGGCAGAGAGCGCAGGGGTGGGGTTGAGGACAGGCAGCCAGCCTCACTCCTCCTCTACAGGCTGAGAGGCAGCATGGACCAGTGGGTATCTCCTCACAGCCTCCCCAACTATTTCCTTTGCAATTCTCAGGAGACCCTCATCCTGTGGAACCTGTCTAGCAAGACCAGGACGAATGTCAATGGAACCTGGCCTCTAGCTGAAGGGCTTTGAGATCCAAGCTTAGTATCCAGCATGGTGCATGTGTGCCACGTGCCTTTCTGTTCCCACCAGCCCTTACACAGTGGCTACGAACTTGCTGCCAGCTATCAGCAGTGGTTCTGCATAAGGTGGCTAGAGTCTCTCCGATCTCCTGGGACACCCAGCCCTGTACTCAGCAGCTAACCTGACTCACTGGCCTTGGGTGTACCTGCCATCCCAACTCTTCTCGAGACTCCAGAGACTTGCATTGCACCATAGCCAGGCCTTACCCCAGGACTACCTATCCTAGCCTGGGCTAACATGTTTGCCCTCTGACCCAGAGTCAAGGTTTCAGGTTTTCACTCTGTCACTATAAGCTCCTAGGTAGAGGTTCCCAGCAAGGCTGGGGACACTTCTCAGAGTTCCTGGGGTGAAACTAGGTCATGCACAAGGAGAGACAGATACCATGTGGGGTGCGGGGGCAGGCTGCAGAGGGTCAGGCGAGGCCTACAGAGGGGCAGGGGGCTGAAGTGAATCCCTCTTTTTCTTAAGTTCTTGAGAACTTAAGAGTAGAATGGATATTTCTATGGCCGTGGGACAGGAGCTCTCTGGCCCCAGTGGGAGTCGCAGCAGGGCCCAGCAAGGGAGGTGGGCGTCCGCTGCTCTGTTTTGCTCTGCTTTGTCTATTCCAACAAGGAGGGTGTGTTTGTTTAAAGATGTCTCTTTTGGCAGCAGAAGTCTGTCTCCAAGCAGAAACACAGGAGTGTGGGGAAGGAGGAGGAAGTCTCTCCACCGGGAAAGTCTTTCCCCTTCACACATGAGGACCCTGAAGCCTGCCTTCAACCGAGCCACTGACACTCAGAGAGGGCGTACTATGGTCCCCATGCTTGGGTTCCCAGACCAGGGTCAGGGCCAGCTGGCTGCTGGAATACCACACCAAGAGAGTCCTTGGTGCCTCCAACGCTAATCTTCACGCTGGGAACTCCAGGATTTGGGCCTTCGTATCCCGAATCAAGTGACCACAAACCCAGGAGCTTGCCATTACAAAGATCTGTTTCTGCCAAGTTTTACAAGTCGGAAAGCAAAGCCGAGCCCCTTCAGTGGCTGGGGAAGGGTCCATTCTGCCTCCCCATTCATTTTCTGGTGACTCAAGGTAGTTCTTAGCTGCTATCAGAATCACTCCTCTTCCTCCTCCACCTTCACCAGGCCTTATCGCTAAGAGTCTGTTTACACAGCCGGCCTCTTTCAAAGGCACCGGATATATTAAGCTTAGAGGGCCCGGGCAGGGCTTGGAGCTAAGGAGGCTCCTTAAGTTGAAAGGTCAGGAAAATCAGGAGTCTGCCGTGCCCAGGGCCATGAACTCGGCCTCTGTCACAGAGCCTTGAGACCCCTGAGTGTTCTTTGCTGTGAACTCGTTCGAATGAGCAAGGGCTTCTGTCTCAGCTTCTTTCTCCGTTAGGGCAGCCAAGAGGCTCTCGGGTACAGTATAGGAAGCCCATAGTCACAGGGCCTGCTTCCCTACTAAGGGAGACGGTGGCGTACCCCTTTGGCCTGCAGAAGCCAAACAGCATCTCAGTCACTGTAGAAGCATCAGTTTTGTAATTCCTTGCTAAGTTGAGTTCCCCATCTCCACGTGGAGGTCATAGGGGATAGTACAGCAGCGGGCTTGATAATCCTTGGGGAGTGGATGTACCCCAACTCTCTCCAGCTCCAGGATTCCAGCCCCTCAGACTCACAATATCTAAGGACCTTTTTCTCCCGGAGAAGGCAGGAACAAAGACAACCTGGGCCCTGCCTCAGAAACAGGCTCCCTGCCCCCTGCCTCTCTCTGATTGTTAAAACAGGAGTCAGCCATGAGAACCTCAAGGTAAAAGGTGGCAGGGACTAGAGAGGGTGATATTTGATGACACGGATCTCGGTGCCCTTGGCTTAGGGGACTGCGTCTGAGTTCACAGCTTCAGAAGTCAGAGAGAACCTGGCCTCTGAGCTCAGGAAGCTGTGGACGAAGTGCTGACAGGAAAGGTAACTGGGAGCCCCTTGGAGCAGAAGAGAGGCCATAAGCTCTGTGGGGTTGAACCACGGGACAAAGTGGGACCTCCATATGTGCAGTTCACACACGTGAGAAACTAAACGGAATGGCAAGGTTTGGGGTAACAACTTGGCTCAAAGCAGAAGGAGTTGCCTGGGGCTGTGTCCTCACGCAGGTGACAAGGGCAAGCAGCTGACAATCATCCCAACACACTGGGTCACCTCATTGTTCCATTCTGGCTACTGGTCATGACAAACCCGCAATAGCTGTCAGCCTGACCTCACAGAGGTCCAGGAGTCGGCATTGCTGAGAGGAGCCCCTCTCCCTGCCAGGATTTGATCTTAGAATTCTTACAAAGGGCAGTTCCAGCTGCCATTGCCAACTTCATCCGATCCCCACATCTGCCAGCTTTCGACTTCTAGCAGAGCAGCTTCTCCTTTGATGCCATGTTGGGCCTCAGGCCCTGGAGCATCCAGCGGGGCCTGGAGAGCTTCAGACAGTGTGACTCCAGAGTAGCCAATAGTGAGCCATCCCCGCTAGAAGCAGTGATCTCTGTCTGACTCAGGCGGCAGGGACGATGGGCTGTCTGTCACGCTATTTCAGGAGAAGTAATTATACCCATGCTTAAAGGGGGGCTCGCCCATGAAATGTCTTAGGAGTATTGCTCTGATGCCCAGCACAGTCTGCCTGCAGCTCTGGGCATGGGTGAAAGTGGGCAGAGTTCCTTGGAGCCCCAGGTATCTGAGGTCTCTCAAAGGCGGCCAGGGCTTGGAAGAAGTTCAGCCACTGAGGGCTGAAATGCCAAGTCCAAGCCCCAAGCTGCTGGCCCTCCTTGTTGCCCATTAGGAACTGATGTTCTTGGCATAAGCCAAGCCATGTCTGTCATAGGACAAGCTTTAGGATACGCAACACAGCTTGAGTTTTCCCGAGATCTCCCCATACCTCAATCTACTGGGCCTACGATGGCCTGACTTCAGGCAGCTCGGTACCTGCTGCTATGGCCTCCTGGCTGGCAGGAGTAGTAGGCTGGAGTTCTGCAGCGCTGCCTGATGTGCATACGTGCATGTGTGTGTGCACTCCACCTACAGCTGGAGGATACAAAAACCACATGGATACACAG